AGTGATGTCCCCCGACGCCGCCGTCACGTCGTGCACCGTCTCCGCCGTCTCCTCCTGCATATCACAGTAAACATAGAAAAAATATTAAAAAAATTATATTATTATTATATAATATACTTTTATTTATAATAAAATAAAAAATTATGTTTTAACTTTTTATTATAAACGAGATTATTTTCACACAAATAGAATGAAAATAAAAGAGATAGGACGTCTTTCTCCTGTGTAAACATTACAACCTTCAAACGCAATTTTACAGTAACACATATATTTTTAGGTAATTCTTTCTATGAGTAAAAGTGTGATATAAAAATTACAGCAATAGCCAGGAAACCGTACAGGTTAAGAAATACCTTGTGTTCACCGTTAGTTAGAGGTGTCTCCTCTGCTGGGCCGCGCAGCGCGGCCGCCCACGGCGCCAGCAGAATGTGGCACTGAGCTATCGTCACCTGACAAATATATTACAATTAACAAATTTTCACATATAAATAATTAAAAAAATACTTTTTAACTCCTGCAACCTTACAAGGTCATAAGAAACTTACATAATCTATAGGTAAAGAGGAAAGATTTGTATTTTTATATGTATTGAAATAACTTAAAAACAACTCGGCCAATTTCTATAATCTATCACCATTAAAAAGCTACTTAACCAATGAGTAACATAGGCTGTGTTTATTTATTATTTTTTAATTCCACACGGACGAAGTCACGAGCAACAGCTAGTACTTAAATAAAAAAAAATATTTTATAGCTCTTGTAACATTACAAGGTCATTAGAGACTTGAATAAGAAATAAAAGGGAGAAATATATCATACCTTAGTCGCAGATAACGTAATCCTCTGCAGTTCAGATGACGAGTGCAAATAGAGAGCTTCGCCACGTTTCGAGAAGCACAGACTTGAAATACCACTGAAAATCACGAATATTGAGTTATTTTAAGTTTACGATAAAAACTAATTATGAGATTTTGTTAGATTTAAGACAATGGCAGGAAATCTATGTAACTTTTTAAATAGTGGATACAAAAACTACCTAAAAATATGGAACAGAAAAGATTTGACATTATGTTTATTATTATGTAGGATGTAAATATTTGTGTTAGTGTTTTTTTATATGTATTAATTTCCCTTGTGTATTGTCTAGCTTCTCCTGTCCCACTGCGTTGCCTATAAGAGATTGCTCATAGCAATAAGGCCGCCCTTGCAATTTTTTTGTATTAGCATAGTTTAAACATTTGTATTATAATATTTGCATAAAGATTTCAATAAATAAATAATAATAAATATGTTTGTGGTTGATAAACACCAAAACGACTGGTCCTAGTTAAAAAAATTCTTTCACTTACAAACAGCTGTGTAACTACCAAGTAACGTAAGGTATAAAACGTTTATCTAATCATCTATAGTAATGTAATAAAGCGTAAACACACACTACTTTGTGGCGCAGGATGTTAATAACCACAGCCTATTTTTCAATATTTTTCTATTTAATAATAAGCTCTACACTTACACCACGCTATAGGCTATATATTTTCACGCTATTAAAATAAAGAGGGTCTATAAATTGAAAAATTCATGTGTAAAAGGGATCATACACTACAAACTTCCAACATTAAGCAAGGTTATTATGGTAACGGTGATTTTGTGCAATTAAGTAAACAATAAAGTAATTTACAATTGAATGCAGATGAAGCCGCACGAGAACAGCTAGTATATAAATGAAGTGTGTATGTATTACTTGATGTCCTCCTTGCGCACGGCGGCGGCGTTGAGCTGGCGGCGCAGCTCGGGGCTGAGCACGAGGCAGTCGCCGAGGTTGGTGAGGCAGAGCAGGCACCACTCGCGGTGCGTCTCCCCGCCAGACGCACATTCGAACCACGCGAACGCAGTACGACGCACCTACATATGTGTATTTTAAATTGGTAGTCAAATGTACAGTCGCGGAAATCAGCGGTGTGTCACTTATATGAGATCAATTGCGCCCCTTCTTATAAATAACCAAGGCAACTGTAAGTTACGCAAATGATAATAAGAAGATGGGTGAAATAATAAAAAGCAATTAGTCATGTACCTATTTTTCGTAGATATGATTAAAAGCTGCATGTTTTTTATATTGAACACTACAGATTCCCCAATTGTACCCCTTGATTTGTTGCCACTAGGTATATTATCTAAGAGAGAGTTGCGTATCTGTGGAGTTTTAGGGGGCGTGTCAAATTAGACCTATGGGTGTACTTAGTTTTAATACGCCATATAATGTCACTCCCCCAACAAACATTTAATACAAATAGAATTTTTGTTCTTACACAATGCCAGTTGCATGCCAGCGTTGATTTCTAACACTACTGGCTTAATGTAAACAATAAATAAATTATGGTCGATAGATGGTGTTAGTATATATTTACCCTGGCGCCCTCGTGTGCGGTCAGCTTGTACTTGTTGTGTGGCTTGAGCGAAGGCAGCGTGAACACTTTGAACTGCTCCTCCGAGGTGATCAGCACGCGGTGAGTGCCCGCCTCCGGCAGCGCGGATACACCACGTTCCACCTAAAAACAACATTATAAGTTTCCATTGTAAAACACCTCTATGACATTCCAGGGAAAGGAAAATCGAATGTTACCTTAATAGACATTTTTTTAGTAAAATGAGCAAATGACCTTGGATTCTTTAAAAAAAAAAAAGTCGTGATAGTTCCCAGACTCGCTTTTACAGATGCGATTTCTATCGATAGATGAATGGACAAGTAAAAAGAGGACATTTGTCTAAATTTTGTGTCTCCTTCTCTGTAATATTCCTACTATTTCCTCATAAATTTTTTACTTTGGGAAGGGGAGGGGACTAAAATTAGGCACGCACATTCAATTACTTCAGTCGTTTAGACTCCAGACACTATCATTCGAATAAAATGAAGCTGTCCTTCTTAATGTCTTTGAAAAGAAAGAGATAGCAATATATCAATTATTTACCTCTAAAGGATCCGGCAATGGGACTGAGGCTCCATCTAACACTGTGATGCCGATAACTGGAGCTCTGTGTTTCAGTTGGATTTCCTTTGCTAATTGGCACGTTACCTGAAAATAAACAAAAAAACATATACAAGCGGTAAACGAATTTTTTGTCCAGACTAGAAATATGTTAATACATACTGGCTCTTCTTTCCGCTTGTTCGTGTTAGGTACGTGTATCGTGAAAGCGTACACCGTGCCATTGTTGGTGCCCGCCCAAAGCGTCGGCGTCGAGTTTTGTGCTGGAAATTATGATACATTTAATATGGTACAAATAACGATGTAATAATAATAATATTCTGTAGTACTAATATGTAAAACTTATAATAATTTTTGGAATTTAAATTAAGTCCACCTTACATCTACTTGTAGCAAAATCAAGCAATAATTATACTAAAAATGCGAAAGTTTAAATAAGTAGATGTTTATTAGAAGGTATATCCGGCTCAACGGATCACGATGAAATTTGGCACAGATGTAAAAACTGGAAGAACATATAGGCAAATTACAAAGTTATTTTTGAATACCACGTGTACACACTCGCGCGTAAAACCTATTTTTTTTATAATAGACACATGTATTAATGAAATATAACTTACTATTGATAAGGAATGTCCTAGCGAAGTACAGACAGCGCACCATAGAGCCAAACGCATCATCATTGGAGCGCGCTTCCACTGCCCTTTCTATCGGCTTCACCTCCTCTGTTTCCGATATCTTGTCCGCTGGCTTCTTTACTGCAGGCTATAGAACCAACAAAAAATAATAAATGTCCCACTGCCTCTCAGAATCGTTTAACAGCCGCGTAAACAACACCTGAGTGAAGATTTCTCGTAAAATCTACACGATAATGCCAGTTTTCACCAACCAGATATTAAATTATTCTTAGACAGGTTAAGTCTCCCTAAAAAGATAAGATTAGATCACAAGTAATGTTAAAATTTTTTTAATTCTTACTAAAAATTAATATTGGTGAAAATAGCCATTAGTTACTGCCACAAGAGAGTCCCTAAGTGTAGATTTAGTTTGACAAAAACTAAGCAAGAGTTCGTTCATTAACTAAATCTGAATGTGGCAAGATGTCTAAATTTGTTTGCTATCTGTACATTTTATTTTTAAACTATTATTGTATAGATAGCATTTAAAAGAAAAAGCAATGCTTGTAATGATTTTGTAACCGTATTAAAGCGGCGTATTGCGAAGCATAGTAATTCCGACAAAGCCTATATTTTAATGCATCGAAGCGATCTGATGGGCCGGTGTCCAACTCGTAAGTGCAAATAAAAAGGCACAAATGTGTAAATTGCTGTCAAATCAAAACAAAACGGTCTGCATTGATCTATAGAAGATAGATGTGGCAAAGCTGATAAACTATGGACTGGACTGAGTTAAGTAAACGTACACTATCGTCTATTGAGGGTACTTGTGAAGAGTCAGAATAACTGCTGAGGTCGCTGTCGAGTCCGGACTTGGTGTGGCGGAGGAAAAAATGTCATGTTAAGACTATCGCTTCTATATAATGTTATGTTCGTGTTGGGGCGTGGCTTACTTGTGACTGGGAGGTGGGGCTGGAAGTGTTCTGCCGCCGCTGCGACCTGCCTTTCCTTAGACGTCGGAATGATTCTCGGAGGGACTTTTTGAACGATTTCCGTCTCGATATCGGTGTATCTCCGGCACCAGAATGATCTACAAAAAAAACATAAAAACAATCAAAATAAATCACACTTACGAGAATTATTACAAGATACTTATATAGATAGAGTACATTAGAGGAAGTTTGAAAGTAGCGCCAGTGGTGGAGAAATTGAGAAGCAA